TAGCTATGATGATTGCCGACCTCCGCCGCAGAAATGGCACTTGAAAAAGAAGAAATACATAACCGGTAAATGATCAAGCAATCGGCAAAAATATTATTTAAAAACGAACAATTTTTGCAATCAGTATTTATCGTTTCTAGAAGAAAGGACGAAGAAACAGCATGTATAGGCAAAGCGTCCTTGCTCTATATATCGGGATTTACCAGAATTATGCGATTACTTAAAGAAAGCCCATGTAAAGATGATTTTCAAGTCTACAAAAAAAAATCAAGTACTGTTCACTGACGGTGAAGGACAAACGCGACCCATTAAGCAACGACCGGAGTATACCGAATACTATGTGGAATGTTATACCGGGTGGTGAATCGTCAAACGGGCCATAGGAAACTCAATGAGAAATTTTAAATTGTTGAATTGCTGCTTCCCTAATTATTTTAGATCAAAAGTCATAAAAAACTATTTGTAGAGCACTAAAATCTGAATTAAAAACAAATGTTAAAACCGTTCTACGAATCAACTGTACCTCAAAATTTTGAAAAAATGTGATACATTTTTCAGACCACCCCTAAAAGTTAGGCCACACGTAATGCAAGAATATATGTTAGGACGTGTTTGTTTTATCATATTAATGTCAGATGTTTGTTTTACTAAATACTACTACCTACTACTGAACATTATTACTTTGTGAACAATAAATCATATTGTTTACAAATCGATCAATATAATGAAATGTACTCAGTTGACGAAAAATCGCATAAAGTTGTATTCAGACAATAGCGCGAACCTTTTCCTGCCACTACCGGATCTTTATTTAACGTAAGATATTCTAATACACTAAAATTTAATTCCATGTTAAGTTAAGTTATACAACAATTCAATGAATTCCAATATACTGTTACTGTGATCTTTATTCCTAATAATAATATATGATTATTTCTAAACATAAAACTATAACAAATGTTATAATAAAACATGAATAAAACATTTTTATTATTGCTTTTTTCTCCTCAACTGAGTACATTTTTTAATCAACTTAATTTTTTTTTAAACAATAAATCATAAAATTTTGGCCATTTAAATCATAGATAAATATAATATAATTGATTTAAATATTGTCAAATATCAGAAACAATAATATGACAAAACGCAACACGTAATACACATTTTTTCACACAAAAATGTATTATATAGCAAAATTTTGGAATACGTTTAAGTCGTAGAATAATTTTAACAGTTGTTTTCGATACATATTTGAGTCCTCTACAAATAGTTTGTAGCATTTTCAATTTCATTGATTCTTTTAAGTATATTGAAGTCCCCGCGTATACGAAATATTAAAATCACCTTATATATTTTTGATAGATCTAAAAATATTTCGTACGTATTTAAACCCAAATATCTTTTCATTTCTTTCTTAGGTCGGCCAAGTTGAAATAAACCATTTTAGAGTTGTTTATTTATTTTACTTCGGCAAATTCTTTTCAAGTTTAATGCGTCGCAAAAAGATATGTACGTCGTTTCGTGGTGTCTTGTTATGTCAGCGTTTGTATGTATGCGTTCAATTTTAATAGAATTTCTTCACTCTCGTTGTAGCAGCTTTGAATAGCGGTTCAACGTTATGTCCAGATTCACGTCGAATTTGTAAAGTGTTCTGTTTTCATCTTTTATTATGAAGAATATGTAGCAGTTATGTTATTGGTTTTGTAGCAGTAAATGCTTCAATTATTAATGTTTTGAGTGAGGATTGGAGGACATCCTCGTTTTTTTTGTTCCTGTTTCTATCCAAGGCTTTTGGCAGTTTTGGAGATGGAGGTTTTCGTCATGCAGAGAGAGTGGAGCCTTCAGTTCCAGGTTCCAGTTATGGTTTCAGAAAGTTGAGTGTGTCATGTGAATTAAGGTAACATTTTGTTCAAATTTTAAACTAAAGACAGACATTTTTTTATAAAATAATAATTGCTTTCGTTGACATTTAAAATTATAAATTTTGTTTTGAGTAAAGCTGTCAATTTGTGTTTAGTTTTTTTTGAAATTTAATGTTAATTTATGACAGCTCGTTTTAGTATTTTTGATGTTGATTTGTTTTGTTTTGTTTTAAAAGGTTAACCTCCATGCAATTTTGTAAGTTTTGTAGCAATGGAGTTTGTTAATGGATGACACATGTAAGTTTTTGAATTTTATATTTCTCCATGTAACTGTTTGTGGTGACACATAAATAAATGTTAAATTTTGTTGTCTTAACTTTTTATTTATTTTTTTGAGCCAACCCTTTTTGAGTTTATTTGAAAAAGATATTTTTTTTTATGTTTTGATTTTGTTTTCTAATTATTTCCCTAGTTACAACTAGTGGTTGTAATAGGCATAATTAGGCACCTCAAGTGGCGCCCTAAATTAAATTCCTTGAGGTGTTTTCTGTTTAATTTTATTTTGTTTATCCCAAAAGCCCTTTATTTCTTTTTGTTGTAGTTGCCCCATTCTAACCCCCATTTTACTTATCCACGACCCCAGCTCTCCTACGAAACCCTGAGTGTCCGTTCGCATCAGTAGCGATTATTTTGCTTGCCCTATCTCCACCCCTTTAGTTTCTTCCCCCAATTTTCTACCCCCTTGTGTTAATGCCCCCTGTGGTAGGCAAAATATTATCGTTACAAGTTTCCCATGACTTTTGGTATAAAATAATTAGGGAAGCAGGAATTCAACAATTTAGAATTTACCATTGAGTTTCCTATGGCCCGTTTGCCGATTCACCACCCTGTATGTGGGAACCACGAAAAGACACACAAACACAAGGATAAACGAACATAAAAGCCATTGTCGTGTAGGACATATCGACAAATCTTCCGTTGCCGAACACGCTTTGCGAAGCGGAGAACATCGAATACTGTTTGAAGAAACGCAGATGCTGGATAAAACATCACAATACTGCCCACGGTTGTATCGGGAAGCGGTGGAAATATATAAGCATCCAAATAATTTTAATCGGATAGAAGAAGAACTAAAAATTAACAAGACATGAATACCAATATTAAAATCCACAAACACCCTTCCCGCAAAACATGAAGAAAGAAACGACGAGAGGCCTCCTCACGCAGATACCAGTAGATGGAAGGCGAGTAGAAAATATAAATATGGCCTCCGTAGTACAATGCGGCGTAAGTTTCAGCTTAAAAGCGAAGTAGTAACATCTCCAGAAGATGATAACCCACTAGTGTTGGCCAAACGTTGAGAACTAATCTCAGAAGACAATGGCCTAACAGCCTGAATAAACAGTTTAACAAGTTAGACGATGGCCATGAAAGCCTAACGCATTTTATCAGTGTTTATCGTTGTTGTTTTTATTTAGTTTTGGTACTCATTTTATTAATTAGTTTTTTATTGTGAAGTAAGACAAATCGGTTAAAGTAACACTATTTCCCGTATATTCCATCAGTTTTTCGTAGAATAAAAATAGATATAACCAGTGGTATAAGTTCACGACATCCACATTTCACAAGAGGAAAAACAAATTTTCTCATAGGTACGACTACTCTCAAATGATCGACTACCTACAACGGAAGCTGTTGGTCGCTGTTCTTTTTTACCAGAGGTATCAGTGGCTATAGTTAAACGTATTGTGCGTGAGAAAAACCGCCAGCTCTTTACCCCCAGCTGCAAATCAGCGCTGACGAAAACCTATTAAGTTAGTTGTAAGTTGTAATCTACGTAATTATTTACGATCAATTCGGAAATATCGTGAGGCAAAACGAAAAATTTATACATCTAGACTTGGAGTTTTTTTTTTGTAATATGGCTTTGGCAGAGCCAATTAGCCAGACTTGTTTGTTTTTATTGTTAAAATCGATTTAATTTTAATTATTAGTGAATGCAGATTCATAGTCAAAATTTTCTTGTTATAAGTTATCAATGTTAGTACTACATATACCTAATATCTATACATAAATTATATTTTGATATATTAGACTTGAGTTAACGCCGAACATACAGTCGCCAAAGGTTTGCAATATACAAAAGTAACAAATGGGCAATAAGCTTTTTTGGAAGGTTTATTGACAAGATTACGAGAGCCATCAGGAAAGGGTCAGCGTCTAACTGTCATTTATATTGTCAGCGATACTGATTTTGTGTAAAATGGTGCCCTTGTTTTTATATCGAAGAAAGCTAGGAACTATCATAAAGACATGAACTCCATATATGATTCGCGAACATTCTCCAGCGTGCAGATAGTAAAGATAGTGCAAACACTCCTAACCATGGAGCTGCGCGAAGGCGGAGTCAAAATTCACGTAAAAGCAGAAAGGTTCTATTGTAAGTGGAATTATACAGTGCATAGTACAGTGCGTTTCGCATGGAAGTGGGGACTAAACCAAATTTCATCAACTGCGCCGTGATCAGGAGTGTTTGCACTATCTCTAACTCTGTCATAGTATTGGATAATGCATCTTAACACAGCCGCCTTATCAAACGCATTCCAACGATGAGATAGAGAATCACAAAGGAGAATCTAGAGAATCAAGGATATAGTCAAAGCACAACTAATGCCAATAACCAAGGAATCATGGTAGATATCGTCAATATGGTGTTGATTCAATGACTAAACTTCATGATATTACGATTTTGAGACTTCCATCTTACTAATTGGGAGTATTTGTGGTATTGGACAAAAGTACACATTCCTACAAAATATAATGCAAGGAAAAATCCAAGGACGCAGAAATCCAAGCCGTAGAAGAATGTCCTGGATGAGAAATTTAGGAGAGTGGTTTGATTGTACCACTAACGAATTATTTAAAACAGCAGTTAGTATAATTAGAATCGCGGTAATGATATCCAATCTCCGATAGGAGAGGCACTCAAAGAAGAAGAAGGGACACAAATATTGGGAGAATTTACTATCAAGTTTCTGAGTACAGCGTGTCATTTAAGTCAAAGCTTTCATCCCTCTCAATTCAAAATAGACGCAAATTCGTGATATATACTGTATGTAACTTTTTTAATTGTCTTACCAATATCTTTTTTAATACTTCTTCATTTTTTTCATCAACTTGTTTCAAATCTTTTTCAAACCACAATCTGTCACAAACATCACATCCATATCCAAATCTGTTCTCAATAAATTTTTCATTGAAATATTTGTGAGCCTTTTGATGTAACGCGTAATGTGAATACGGCAAAGCCTCGATGATACTTTCGGGTAAATTTAATATGGACACTATATTTTTCTCTGATTGTGGTAATTGTTGCAAGTTTACATTTAGATCGTTACAAGAAAGTGAATGTACTCCATGTGATTGTTTCTGTAACTAAAAAAAAAGTCTTGAGAAAGGCACTTGAGAAAGGCAATCAGCCGAAACAGCTGTAGTGATAATATTTAAAATAAATTTTGTGGAAGTTTGAAAACAAAGTTTTCAGTGTTTTATTGTTACAAAAAAAAAAAGTCAGTTATACATAATGAAACTAAAAATTTTATATTATTTATGTAAGTAGGTGAGAGGTAGGTACAGTGAGACGGTCCATTGAGACAAACTCGGTAGAGCTTACTACGTTCCGTATTATCCGGTAGAACTAAACGAACATGCCTATTACCACCTTGAAGTGAGAAAAACAAAAAACCGTTAAGATTCGACAATAAATATTTTAGTTATCGCTGGTCATCGTGTTTTCACGGAAATTGAAGTTTTTTAAACAAGGTAAGTTATTTTAACTGAAAATTAAACCATTTTACAAGACAATTAAACTAAAACAAATAATTTTTGTATACATTTTATTAGTTTTTTTAATCGACTTTTATTAACGAATTTTTATGGAACAGTGACACGCGTCTTACTGTTCCTTACTGTCTTACTGTTTCGCCATAGTTGTATAAGCCAGATCATTTGCAAAATAATTCCTCTTACAGAAAGAAAATGCCAAGAAAAAATAAAACCAATCGGAAAATAGGAAGGTTCTCTGAAGATCTGATGAGGTAGGCTATTGAATTAGTAAAAGGTAACACCTCTATACGGCAAGCAGCACGAATGAAAGGAATATCATTCCAAACAGTCCACAGATATGTAAAAAAACATCACCAAGACGAGAACATTCGTTTATGTCCTAATTACAAAGTACAACAAATTTTTTACTATCGAACAGAAGAACGACTTGAAAACTGTCATATGAAGCCGCAGCCTACAATAATATAATGGTTCCAGCAAACTGGCATACATGAAAAATTGCTACAATTGCCTGGATGATAGGATTTCAAAAACGTCATTCCAATAATTTATCCCTCCGGGCCCGGAAGGTTGCAGTTTTGCAACTGGTTTCAATAAATTTAACGTTAAAATGTTTTTCAGTAAACTTGAAACTGTCTTAAACCGTTTCCAGGTGTTTGGAGATGATAGTCGTATATATCATTTAGAAGAGACAGGAACTGTTACCGTTCAAATGTCCCAAAAAGTGTTTCCAGAAAAAGATATACGACAGGCTAGTAAGACTACAAGTGGCGAACGTGAAACGGTCGTAACAACATGCTGTATTATTGGAGTATGTGGAGCAACTATTCCTCCTGCTCTGATATTCCCAACAGTACGCTTTAAAGATTTTATGATAAACGGATCGCCCTCTGGAACTTTAGGACAAACAGGTTGGATGAATGCAGAATGCTTTGTGCAAGTTGTTAAGCATTTTATTAAGAACACTGGTAGTAACAGAGAAAATCCTTCTTTCTTTTAACAAATTACAGCCGTTGGACGTTGGGTTATTAAAACCATTTCAAACTTTCTATAATGCTGCAGTAGATGCATGGATGATAAACCACCCCGGTCAGACATTTACAATTTATAAGCTTGCAGCCTGTGTGGGCACAGCATATCCACGAGAAATGACGCCAGTTAACATCACAACAGCTTTTAAAAAAACTGAATATTTCCATTTGATCGGCATGTCTTCACTGAAGACGTTTTGTGACAGACAGGCCATTTGTTGCAGTTGAAGCTGCTGCTGAAGATATAAATGAATCTTTAGATGTAGAAAATCCAGGTCCAAGTAATACTGATACTACGAAAACCTTTGTTGGCTCAAGAGTTTTTAATGGTTAACCTAAAGCTCCGGCCAGAAAATCTGGGAAAGGCAATAAAAAACGCAAAGGAAAGACGATGATAGCTACGGATACCCCGGAAAAATGGAACTGATTACATCTGAAGAAAAAACACCAAAACATAAAAAAGTAACTAGACACGTATTAGATAGTGATTCTGATGAACAAGTTGCAAATGAGATGGAATTGCAAGATTCCAGCGGAGGAGGGGATTTTATTGGTGAAGATCCCTAACCAATTAGTTTCGAAGATCTTGATCGCTGTCCCAATAATGGGAATTATGTGCTTGTTAAATTATTATTATTATCCAGATTTAGCCATACGGCTCACACTCCCTCTAAGGAAAAAATTCACTCACCCCAGATACCCACGTTATCAAAATGATTGAGCTATGGTGGGACTCTTTCCGTGTTATCGAGCCCTACCTTTGACATTCTTAACGCAAAATAATTGTCGAGTAAATATTTAATGTTTATTTAAAAAATTTCCTAATCAGCGTATCGTCTCTCCGGCTGAGGGCTGGTGTAAGCCAATTAAATTTTACGACTTTTTCGTCTGAGAATGTAGGGAGTATCGAATATCATAAGGATATATACAATTGCGTAGATATAGTTAGGGTTAGTGAGTCGAATTTGTATCACCGAAGCAAACTGTATTAAGTAAAACTGTAAAGTCACATTTGTGTATTTTAATCATCGAGCAAAAAGATAAAAGAGGGAATCTAATCCTTATGAAAAGGAGACCAAAAAAGTGGCCTCTGATGGCGGACATATCCGGAAATGCAAAGGCGCTAAATTTAAATTTTCCAACACTTGTTAACAATAGCTGTAAAATATTTTTCAGACAAGAAAGTTTTAATTAAATATTAACGATAATAGTCTAAAAAGTGACACAATTGGTAAAAAACTTCAATATAAATAAAATTTCATGTGACAGTTGGGACAAACAATAACATAACCAAACTAAATTTGACTTCTTAAACAAGGAAAGAGACTGTCTTTCCTTGTTTAAAGTGGCCTCTCAAGATAGCACTTCCCGTCTAACAATATTTTTGTCCCCACTACCTTTATATTCCCTCTTTTATCTTTTTGCTCGATGATTTTAATACAAAAGTATATTTTGTTGTAAAATTACCCGTAGGACATTCCTAACGTAACAATAATGTTAATTGTTAAGTCTCAGTATTCCCACATTGCAAGGAACAGTAAGACATTCAGTAATTTTTAGTTTTAATATTTTTGAGGTGTTAACTTTAGTTTTTATCAAACATCGACATAATTTTTCAATTCTTCTTTATATTTTATATACCAAATATAGAGGTACAATAGTTACTAAAGATACAAAAGTTTAATATAGCATTTAATAAAATAGTTATTGTCATTGTATTATACATTATATATATTATATAATGTATAGGGGTACGGAATTTTCGTTTATACGAAATAGATGCGAATTTCGGCGAAATTTTGAACATAAATGCGATAAATGCGAAATATGGATTTTTTGTTTATTTCCGCGAAATATCTGCAGGTGCTCAACTCATCCCTAAATAAGTAGGTAGTTACGAAGGTATAGAAAGATTTTACAGAAAGTTTTCTATTGTAATTTTTGTAAGGATTGTTTACTGTTGTAACACGTGTTGAAACAGAAGGATCTTTCATTGTTCATCATTAAATAGATCAAGATAAGATAAGGAATTGATATTTTTCAATGTTGATTCTTTGAGAAATATAAATAAGCCGACTGTTGTTGATAAAAGTCGGCTAATTCTTATTTTCTAAACATATAAATTAGTTAACCAGGACAGTCAATGCTCATTCCGTCAATTTTTACTGAGTGAGAACATAGTCTATCAAAAAAGTTTTCATAGTGAAATAAAGTTACTTAAAATATCTCCTAAAATGGGACGCTCTAAAACAATTTTGAGTGATCGAGTCAAAGAATTTGCAACCGATGGCCTATATCTGTGTGACACAAATATTGTGATGTGTAAGTATTGTAATACTCGTTTGGAAGGTGATAAAAAGGACACACTGCAGAAACATGTGAAGTCGGCTAACCACATTAACAAGAAAAATCTATAGCATCTACTTCAGGAACTAAGCGACAAATGTCAATTGCTAGTGGCTTTGAGAGACAGAAACGAGCAAAAGAAGAAAATGATACTTTTGTGGAGGATACAGTTAGTATGTGTCTGAAAGCCAACATTCCACTTCATAAATTGGATCATCCAGCTGTGCGTGAATATATTGCTAGATATGTGCCGGGGTCGGGTGCTCTTTCATGTGCGGACACTTTAAGGAGAAAGGTAGTGCCTCGGTGTGGGCTGTCTGAAAAAGCCAATACAAAGCAACAGCTGAAAGACAAGCCCATTGTAATAGTAGCAGACGAAACCTCGGATGAACAAGGAAGATGTGTTTTTGCTATTCTCTTCAGAACTATAGATTATGTACTACATCAAGAATGTTTTTTAGCAAGTGTTAACTTCCTTGATACTGCCAATGCATCAACGTGTTCACAGGCAATTATAGATACATTAAAAGACTTTGAAATTGGTTATTCACAAGTTAAAGGCCTGGTATCAGATTCCGCAAGATACATGTCTGCTTGCTTTAACCTATTAAAAATTCTAATAGGGCCACATATCTTACATTACCAGTGTTGGGCTCATAAAGTTAATCTTGTTGGTGATGTGTTTGTAGGAGAGTTCAAGGAGTTAAACATGTTTACAGCAAAAGTCAAGTCAGCCTTTTGTCTTTCAAGAAAAATGAGGAACTCTTACTTGAATTATTTGAAAGAAAACGTGCCCAATCTCCCAGCAAAACTTTATCCAGCACCAGTTGTAACTAGATGGAACTCTTGGTTCTCAGCAGTGTCGTATCTAAGTGAATATCTTAATCACTTACTCAATTTTTTTGACGTGTGGGAGAATGAAAATTCCAGTATTAAAATTCTCAAAGACAATTACGCCGATGAAACTTTCAGGCGTAAACTAGAAATTCAAATGACCTTCACCACCGAGTTCTGTCCAAAATTAATGAAATTAATAGACGATTTGGAAGGAGCCAGTTATCCATTCGCCCATCTTTTATGGAACAAATTAGAGGGCTTAAAATCGTCACTTGAACACCATCGCCAAGGTTATTTTGGTGTAAAAACATCTCGATTGCTCACTGAAAACGAAGAAATTGACGCTACACTGAAGAAAATGCTTATGAAAGCAAACGACAAAGCCTTTAATAAACTAACTCTCCATATGACTTTAAAAGACACAAACGAGGCTTTCTTACACATTGGACAGTTATTTAACCCATGTATATCTGCAAGTTTTACTGTGAACCCGAGTGTACTCTCAGAAAGCTTTGCTAAAATTCCTTTTTTTAGAACAATGACACAATTGGAGTACATAGATGGATATACTCACTTTCACAGATTATTCCTTCAATCGATACAAAGGAACGAAGATCCCAATGTGAAGGATATTTTGCTTGCTACACAATGCAGTTTTCCGTCATTTGCTAAAGCAGCATTACAGAGCATCTGGAGTCCAACGAACAGCGTAGATGCAGAACGATTCTTCAGCAAATATAATATTGTAGTGACAGATCGAAGAACAGCTCTTAAAGAGTCGAATGTCGAAATTACAACGATGTTAGCTTTTAATTAATGTTTTTTGTTGTTTACTCGTAGTTAAAAATAAATGCGAAATAAATGCGAAATTTTGTAATTATAAAAAAAGTAAATGCGAAATTCATGTTTTTTATTTGCGAAAATTCCGTACCTCTAATAATGTATACATATATATATATATATATATATATATATATATATATATATATATATATATATATACATTATATATATTTTATATATTGTAAATTATACATATACCTACCTGTAAAAGCAATTCTTGAATATTAATACTTGCACTATGCACTATGATGCCATCATTGTTTTGTTTTTTACGGTTCCTATAAGCCTTGGAACGTTCAGCACTAGTTTTTGACGGAGGACGTTTTGGATTAAGATCTTTCATGCCTTCTTTAATTGCTTTTTTACGTTCCCTATATGCTTTGGAACGTTCAGCACTAGTTTTTGATAGTGGATCTTTTGGATAACGATATGTTCCACTATTGATGCTCTCAATAATTGCTTCAGCATCAGCTAATGATAATGAACCTTTTGGATAAAGATCTGTTGCACTATTAACGCTCTCATACATTGCTTTTTTACGTTCCCTATAAGCTTTGGAACGTTCAGCACTAGTTTTTGGGGGTGTTCCTTTTGGATTATTGATGCTCTCTTTAATTGCTTTCTTCCGTTGCCTATATGCTTTGGAACGCTCAGCAGCAGTTTTTGGTGGTGGACGTTTTCGATTAGGATCTCTTGCACTTGTTTTGCTATCATTACTCAGTCTTTTACGTTTCCTATAATCTTTACAACGTTCAGCAACAGTTTTTGGTGGTATATCTTTTTTAAGCTTTTTACATGCCATAACGGGTTCGTTAGTAAGATCTCTTGTACGTTTCCTGTAAAAAAAATTTATTATTTTTTAAAATTTTATGTTTTAAACATTCAACCATCTAAATAATATATTAAAAATTGGATGTGACACTCTAGGATTGACTCAAGAGGGCAAGCATAGCTTTCTTATCGTCTAAGCACGGAGCAATGGTTTTTAATTTAATTTATATTTTAGTTTATTTTATTAAAAACACGCATGGGACTGCGTTTACTACTTCTAGTAGTGTATTTTCGCGCGATTTTCCGTTACATTGCTTTTTTTTATTTAGATTTTTTTTAGAAGTTATGCTTCCAAAATATGATTTTTGTTAATTATTGTTCCATTCTTCCACAATATGCAAAACTCAGTAACGTTATTGTAGGAAACAGATTGTTTCCCAATTTCGTTCATATTAGTGGTATTTGGTTAGTTTAAATCTCGTAATGTCTTGACCATGGACGTATAAACACAGATGGACTCAGTTATTTACATAAAATTGTGTAGTCAAAATTATTTGAATAGGTCACATTCTCAGCGCTTTCAACTGTTGTCACGTTTTGTTTTAAAATTTCTTATTCGCGAGTTGCTGAAAATATTACTCCGTTTTTTATACTCTACAGGTGCTATCAAACCAAAATAATAATGTATTGGTTAGATTAATATATTTAATTGTAATCAAAATATCAAGTGTGCACATAGTGTACATTATCATTTAATAATAGCGTATAATAGATATCAATCAATTATTTTATATGTAGAAGCACTAAAAACTATTTATAAATGGCAACGGTTGTTTACATTTCTCTATCTTATGAATCTACGACAAACTTCAAATGCTGTTCCATGTTTGTTTACTTTTTAAAGTAAATGAGGAAAAGTTGTTTTTCGATATTTTGGCTGTATTTTGAGTGATATTTGTGAAAGTGAAATAAAATAAACGAAATATTTACATCCCGATCTCTCATTTTATTTGTAAGTACATACAATTTACATTATTTAAGATGAGGAAATGAGGAAGCGTGTTTATTTACATTTTAATAGGCGTACCATTGGGTTTATTCATGTTCATTAATGTATTGAATAAGATATGAGTTCATGAAATTAGTAGACATTTGAAATTGTAAGTAGCCATCATCTGATTAAAAAAGATCTGTTTAGTACCTTTTTAATTTAATATTTCTTAAGGATAGAAATAAATTAGTGAAATGAATAAAACTCATTTATTTTTCTATGTAGGTTTCCAAATAATATTGACGATAGAACTATTTGGGTAGCAAATTTAGGAAAAAACATAAAGATTTTTTATTGTAGTATTATTTTGATACCTATTAAAAAATTAACTTGAATTCAACTATATTTTATTGTATTAATTTTAAAACAAATAAAATTATATTTTAATTTTTCTATAAAGACGTGATTTGTTAAGAATTAAACTATCGTTTTTTTTTAATTCTTTGAACGTGTTTTTATACATTATTACTACTTCCAATTTTTAAAATCTGAATAATCACCCGCGAGTAAAAATTCAAGTGAAAATTGAAACGCCAATAAACCTATTTTTATCTTTAATTGTGGCTTATTCCCAGTTAAATACTAATTAATTTAAAATGCCACAAGAAAATAGCTTCAGAACAATATTCTACATAGTACTCTTCCCATTTTGTTGAAATTTGCTCTGGTCTTTTCTATTCTGATTTTGATCCGAATGTAATCATTTGTGGAGTTAATCATTGTTCCCAGATATGCATATTTGTCCAATTGTTCGACGTTAGTTCCGTTTATTAGAGTTATTCTCTTTATTTTGATATTCTCATAAATTTCTTCTTGACATTCATTGTTAGGCCAATCTCTGAAGATCTTCAATATTTTCGGCTAAGATCACAGTGTCGTCCGCATATCTAGTGTTGTTAATGGGAACTCCATTTACCTTAACTGCAAATTCCATAGGTGGACCAACTGATATGGGAAGGGGTTCGTATATACAATTATTTCATTTTAATAATTATCAAATTACTGAATTAAGTAAAAGTCAATGTAAAAAAATAGATAATATCAGTACTGTCTGACAATGATAAAAAAAACAGTAAAAAAATATTTTTATTTTTAAATAGTTTATTAGATATTACAAAACGGTGTTACCATTATCATGAGAAATGTCAGCTAACATTGTTTGAATCTGCTAGATGTCGTCTACGTTGCCAAAAGTTCATCTTATACCGTAACATCTTAACATTCATATAATCCTTTTCTCGTTCGTTGACTTGACTACATTCATCTTCTTCATTTTGATTTAGATTAATATAATCCTTTTGTAGATGACCAATTTCATTCTCACTTACAATTCTGTTTTTATAAAAAACAGAACATTTAACCTTGAGAGTTATGTATGGCATTTTTATTGGGATGAGATGTTTGAGAAGCCTCTATCAAATTGTTTGTAATAGAATCTACTTTTCGCTTTTTCTAAAATGATATAATTAAAATAATTAGCACTCAATAAAAATATTATGTATGTATTTAAAGAAATAAAGATGTTAATGATATTTCAAAATACCTCGGTACTTCAACAATATGCGGATTACAGATTAATTCATGCAACTGACTTATTTTTTGACGTTCTCTATATTCTTTGACTCTTTCAGCAGACGTTTTTGCACCGCTTGATACTGCTGAAGTTTTCTTATTTTTAATACGTTGACGATATTCTTTGCAATAATCAGCATTGGTTTTTTTAACCGCAATCTCTAAATCCCTAAAAATTAAATAAAATCATTAAATGGATATTATAGTCATAAATGTCAAATGCGTCAATTGCAATTACAAGCCCTAACAACTGTATAATTGTGTAGCATTGTCTTTTTCCCAAAATAGTGGACTAGACAGCTTTAACATTAACATTAAAATCAAGCGGATTAAGTTCTGGGCTACGTGATGGCTATAATGTATAACTACATCTTATTTGTCGCAGAGGTTGATTAATGTATTAAACTCTGATGTATCTCGTTTATTGGTTACTTATATACACACGGAATAACGTATCGATGGCATTACTTATTTATATGATTACGTTACAGCTTACGAGTAACTATAATTACATTTCGAACAAATGGATTATTATGATTTACTAACAAACTAATATTATGCTGAACTAAATTGCCTGTGTGTTTACTATATTTAACAATGTCCGTTATTTGGCCAACGATTATGTTATTGTAAAAAATACTGAGTCTTTAAAGTTAGATTTGTAGCAAAAGTACTATGAGACGAGACACATATGTGTTATTCAATACCTGTGCTCTAGTTTCTAATTTTCCTAATAAAAATGTGTAAACAATTTACGTAATGAATAATAAGTATTCTTTTGAGATTTTTTATGAATTAAATAATTATATCAATATTTCCCTACATTGCCAAGAAATATGACTAACACGACCAATCCAACGTTCCGAAAAGTTGTATTTAAGTATGTTCTCACTGCTCTCTCCAGAATGTAGTGGTGTACCATCTTGCATAAACCACATAGTTTGTGTTTTCACAATTTTACAATAGAGAAAAAGTAATACAACGTCAGTATAGAAACTTAGCGCTAGAAAAGGGAAATTTTAAACATGATGACGGCCAACGTTTGATTACGGACACAGCAGCACCTTAAGAAAGAAGATTATTTTTATACATAAGCGAGGGCAGGGAACTAAGTCCCTATTATGCCCAAAAACAAAGAAATTTCATTAATAACCTACTAAATAACAAAATTAAAAATAAAAGATATAAAATTACAAATTTTTGAGTTTAAAACAAAAACAATATTTTAACTATAATATAAAACGGTCAAGTATGTTTTTGAACGAGTTGGTAGAGGGAGCAAAGACAATGTTATCGTTAAGGTTATTCCATCCATCCATCCAATGGCACTACAGCCCAAGCCGGGCCTTGGCCTCCTTCATTAAACCTCTCCAAACATCTCTATTTACTGCTGTTCTTTTCCATGAACGCGTTTTTAGGAGATTTTTGGCATCCTCATCTACCTCATCTTCCCATCTCTTTTTTGGTCTTCCAACAGGTCTTTTTCCTTGCATTCTTGCGTTTAGTAATTTTCTGGGGATTCTGTTCTCATGCATGCGGGCCACATGCCCTGCCCACCGTAATCTCTGCAGTCTAGTGTATTGTGCTAGTGTTGGTTCAGTGTATTGTTCGTATATTTCGTTATTATATCTAATTCGCCAGTTGTTATTTTCCTTTATTGGACCCAGTATTCTACGCAATATTTTTCTTTCGAACACGTCTAATGCATTGGTAGATTTCTGTGTTATAACCCATGTTTCACACCCATAACTTACTATTGGTCGGATTATTGTCTTCATTATTTTAGACCAGATCCATTCCTAAATACGTGAATCTATTCACGTATTCTATATCGTCTATAAATTGTTGTTGTTGCGCCTGTCTATTTGATCTGGTTTGTATGAGTATTTTTGTTTTATTTGTATTTATTGTTAGCCCCTTTTTTTATGTGCTTCATTTCTTTCGTGAATAGCTTGTTTGCATTCTTCATCGAACCACTGTTCTTCTCTCCGTTGAGTGTTTGTTCCAAGAACTTCTTGTGCCGTGTTTAGTATGATAGTGCTTATGGTGTTCCAATGATTTTCTATTGTGAATTCTTCTATGTTTTCTTCTAGTAATTTTTCACTCACTGTTCTCTCAAATCTTTCTTGTACCTCAGAGACTTTTAGGTTATCTAAGTTTAGTTTTTCTTGTTTCGGATATTTTTCCTTTGCTTGTCGACTGATTTTACATCTGAACCGTATCTGTACTAGTAGATGGTCGGAGTCACAGCTTGCTCCACGCCTACTTTTTACATCTAATATACTTGTGGCCATTCTTCTTTCAACCAGTACGTGGTCTATTTGATTGACTGTGTTTCCGTCAGGTGATATCCAAGTGCCCTTATGTATGTACCGATGTGGGACGCAGGTCGAACTGATAACCATATTCTTTCCAGCTGCGAAGTCTATTAGAAACTGACCA